GGACCATGTGCAGGCTTGGGATACACCAAAGAAGAGGCTCACCACTTCTGTGGGCATTCGGTCCAGCCAGTGCGGCCTTCCAGTTGGTGAAATGTTTTACCTGCTATCTTAACAGAGATCTGTCTTCCTTCCCAAGTTACTTCTCTCTGATTGCTGCTCCTTCCTTCCCTGACTTTTGTCCCATTTTGCGTAACATTGTTATAAGTAAAAGAGCATATGACCCGAAACCACACCAAACTGACTTAGTTCCTAATCTACAAAACCCACAAATTATGATGCCACCATTCTGTGATCTGCAATAGACAAGGGACACCTAGTAATACTCTCTTCAACCTACTCTGCAGAAATTGTGAGCATTGATTCACAGTGCACATCAAAGCATTTTGGAGCAGTGAATCCCTATGCAAACACTGGCTATTACTACAACCCAACCCAAAGAATTAAACAAAATGGGGAGGTAAAATGAAAACAAAGTCTATTGGAACTGGTCAGTTGGTCAAGCCACTGTAACCTCAGGTTACATTCTTGTAAGAATGAAGATGTTTTTGTTCCCCTAACAGGTGAAAGGAGGAGGCATCTCACCAGGAAAATATAGAAATCTGTCTACAAAGAAATGTCTCAGGAGAAAATATATATATATACTGAAACAAAAGCAGAACTCTCTTGCTTTTTTTGTTGATGATCCTAAGTGTTAACGTTTAGGTTTTCTACTTGGAAAAGGCCTGTTTTATAAGCTTCTCAAAAGGATGCATTCTAGAACAGAACTAGACGGTGCTCTGAATTCCAGAGACACAAAAATGGAGCCAAGAAATGTGCATGCTCTGTGTGGTCAGTCACTTGGGGCAGATGCTGCATGGCTCAGCTTAGAAGCAAATGAGTGGTGGACCTACTTACCTGCAGGCCCCTGTATCAGAGAACGAAAGCCGCAGTTGTAACCTTCAGATCTGTTCTCTGCCCCGGGCAGCCACATCTGCTGCTGGACTAAGCCCTGCAACAGTGAGGGCGCAGTGATCCTCCAGAACAATTCTCTAGGTCATTGGGCTAAAGGTCCTGAGAGTCAGGGGAGGTGAAACAAAGCAGCTGGTAATGCTATTTTCTGAGCTGAAATCCAGAGGAAAAATGCCGTGAATGCCTGTATGTGTGTGCGCTATGCTTCTGAGTGTGTATGTGTGTGTGTTTCAGCCACCAAGCAAAACAGTGTTAGACCAGTTTTAGAGCAAGTACAACCCTTTGTTGGTTTGCCTGCTTGTTTGTCCAACTTTATCCAGCCAATCTAGTATGAAAGTTCCCTTTAATCTAGAGACATAGTCCCCCTTTAATCAAAACATGTGCTGGTAGTTTTGAGTGGGAGTCCTTGGGAACCTTCCCCCTTTTATAGGGAAGCGACCATTTCCAGTGTGGGATGAGGGACTTCCGAGTGATTCCAGGGTGGGAAGGAGGTCAGCAAAGGAAGCACAGCCCCTTGCTGAATCTGTATGCCTGTCTACCTGAACACAGCAGCTTTGCTAGAGAGCCTCCGTAAAGCACAGGGTCTCCTCACTGTCCCCACTGCGCTCCTTGTTCCTCCTTGCCTCCATGAGGAGGAGGCTGACACTGACACTGAGCAGCTTATATTATATTCTCTGATAGGCAGGGCTCTTCAGATGCTGGCCATGCTCTCTGGGAACTTTCCAGGCTTTCCCTCAGCATATGTAAAAGGAGGGAGGAAGAGAGGTCATGCACTACATGTACATGGTAGCTAAGCCTTTGTGCTCCTCCTGCTGGGAAGCAGAGCATTCTTAGGAAATCCTACGGCGCTCGGAGGCAGAGCCTGTCTCTGCCGCTGCATACATCAGCTTGAGCTAAGCTATGCTGCAATAACAAACAACCTCAAGTCTCACCAGCATGCAGTAACCAAGTTTCTGTGTGTGTGTGTGTGTGTGTGTGTGTGTGTGTGTGTGTGTGTGTGTGCAGGGTCTCACTACACAGCCCAGACTC